AAACATTCAAAGTCAAGCAGGAGTGTTGGAGGAGATGACAGTGACTCTAGGATCAGGGACCACAACTTGGAGAAGGTAGACACACTAGAACATATTAGAAAAGCTCAGTATTTTATGGTGAAAAATAGGGGGCTGAGGACATAACTTAGGGGTAAATAGGCTTGCCTAGTATGAGCAAGATCCTAGTTTGGTCTCCAGCACCTCCAAATATATAGAGAGAAATAAATCCAAATGTTGGTATTATATTTCAGAGTTCAAGGACAGTAAGAGAAAAGGGTACATTTTTGGAAGAATGTAAGAATGCCGTGAGAAAAGACAACTAATTTTTAAAACAATAATGATCTAAAAGAGCCATGTTTACTGAATGCTAAGTACAATGTTGTATATTCTACTTTTTTTCTTGGTTTTTCGAGATGAGGGTTTCTCTGTGTAATAATGGCCTTGGCTGTCCTGGAACTCTCTTTGAAGACCAGGCTGGTCTTGAACTCACAGAGATCCGCCTGTCTCTGCTTCCAAGTGCTGGGATTAAAGGCCCCCCATTGCCCATCGATGTTGTATATTCTTAACAGACAACTTAGTTAACTCTTTTTTTCCTTATGTGTACAAGTGTTTTGCTTGCATGTATGTCTGTGTCAGAAGAGAGTGTCAGATCCCTTGGGACTAGAGTTATTGATGAATGTGAGCTCCCATGTGGGTATGAGGAATCAAACTTGAGTCCTCTGCAAGAGCAACAAGTGTTCTTAACCATTCGATAAACCAGTGCCTTTTCCTTCCTTCACTTTATAAAGAATGTAAAGCAAGCCAGGCTGGTGACTCATACTTCTAATCCCAACACATAGGAAAAGTTGGGGCAGGAGGAGTGCTAGTTCAAAGCCAGCCCTCTCTCCAAAGATTAAAGCATAACAACAGAAAACCTAGACCAAGGACCAGACAGGTTAAGCCTTCCACCTCAAGTCATACAACAGAAAGGAGCAGAGGAGTTTGAACCTGGCTCCAAATCCACGCTCTCCTCCCCACCAATGTGCCATGGGCCTTACTGCAAGGTGCACCAGGGGCACACAAGGGCAGGTAAGGCAGAGTCCAAGCTTCTTCCTTATCTTTGCTTATGCTCCAAGGCTCCAATTCTCCCTACTCACCTGCAGGCAGAGCAGGTGCCGAAGATCCTTCCAAGGCACAGGTGGGTGCAGGAGGAGAAAAACTGGGAGGAGAAGGGGATGGCAGCGTCTGGAGATAGGGTAAGCATACAGTCATTCCTGGTCTGTGGGAAGGCTAACAAGCATTTCCTCTCACCCCACTTTGTTTCTCTCCTATTTCTTCTCAATACCAAAGCAAAATGAGAGTTGTAACTGACACATATTTCAACAGTCAATGTGTACTGAATAGTTACTATGTGTCAGGTATTCTGCTAACATGGCACATACACAAACTTATTCAACCTTCATCACCACCCTGTGAGCCATGTATTTCGATGGCTGCTACAGCAGAAGTGAGATTCAGACTGAGCCATTCGTCAGAATCATGGTCAACTTAGTGGCAGAGTACTGGCTAGAACTGGTGTGTTCTGACTTTCCTATATGATCCCTGCTGTAGTCATGACAAGGCAACACAAATTCAAACACTTCTTGTGTACCATGGGGCTAAGGAGTTTACCTCTATCATCTCTAGTCATGTCAGTAAGCCTGCTAAAGCAGCTATTGTTGTTTCTATTGTACACGTGAAGAAGGCAGCTCAGTAACCACTCAATGTCATGCTATAGCAATTTGTATTCAGGCCTATCTGGCCCTAAAGTTCCCAAACTCCTATGAAGGGTGCCTTGGTTTCTCTTTTCTCTTCCCATCCAAAGCACACAGGAAGGCCAAAGCTACCATGGAGTCAAACCTGGGGAGGAAACAGGGCTTTAAGGTTAATATGGAGCATTGTTGAGGTGAAAGGGCCAAACCAGAGGTACTTGGGAAGTACAGGAGAAAAAAGCTTCACCTGTTCAGGGTCAGAGAGTTCAGGTGGCCCTGGGGGGGCAAGCAGTTCTTCTACCAGTAGGGATGGGAAGACTCCAACATGGCCCCCAAACTCTCCCCTCCAGAAGCCATCATCCACACCGTCTTGAGCCCTGGGCAGCAGGCGGATGAGTGCCCCTTCAGGGAAGCTTAGCTCCTCTTCACTCTGTCCAGTATAGCTGTACAGGGCACGGGCCAGGAATGCTACAGGAGCCCAGGAGAGAGTATGAAATAAGACAGTAGGTTCTAGTACAATAGTGCCAGCCACTCTACAACATCCAGTAAGCTGTATCTATCTATACTCATGGTCCCTGAGTCCATAACTTCCTTTTCTTACCTGTGGGCTCTGCTCCTGAGGGATTGTGGCTGCCATGGCTGCTCTCAGGAAGGGAGAGATCCGGGAAGTTGAGATATCGCTCAGGGACAAAGCCTGCCTCGCCATGCTGGTTCCGAGCCTGCTCACCGAGCAATGTGAACAGGTATCAGACTTGCTCAGGAGTCTATGACCTTGGCTTTTCTCCACTCAAGTTTCTGGCATTACCTGGATGAGGCCTTGGGAGCCACACACAAGTCCTCCCACTGCCCCCAACCCAGGGTCCCATACTCACCTTAACCCATTCATCAGCATCTCCTTCCTCTATGACCTCCAGCCACTCACCCTCTGTGATAGTCAGCTCATCCTCACGTCCTGCCTAAGCCCCACAAGGAAGGAGTCAAGATTTGCCCCACCCCCACCCCTGTTCACCCATCTGAAACTTCCATACCCATTCACACCTGGTAGCCATGGTAGCCAAACACCACATGTGCAGGGCAGGGGAGGGATCTGGTAGCCAGGGCTGGGGGGGCAGGCTCTTCAAAGAGCTCCCCAGCCTCCTCACATTCATCGAAGTCAGAAAGCTCAGCATCCTCAGTCTGGCAGGGGTAGAGGACAGACAAAGTCTCAAGTACTGCATGGATCTCCCACGCCCCCTCTTAGCTCTAAGGGACACTGGGAATCCTCCTTCAAGACAGTACCCCATAACTAATCACCCACCTTATCTCACAACCAAATAGGGCAGGATGATACTAAATAATAGTAATTACAATTAAGTGTAAGATACAAAATATCTTACATATATATTGTTTCATTTAAACTTCAGTATAACCCAGTGTTATTTTGCTATATTAACCTCACTTTACTTTTGGAAACTGAGGCTCCCAAAGGTTAAGTAATTTTCCAAGGTCACATGGCTATTAAGTGGAGTGGATGGCACTCAAGTAACTTCCAGACTGCTCCCAGAACTGTGGTGGGTTGGGGGGGGGGGTTGGGAGAGAGGGCAGCCCTGGCTAACCTGGAACTCACTCTGTCGATCAGGCTGGCCTTAAACTCACACAGATCCGCCTGCCTCTTCCTCCCAAGTTCTGGGATTAAAGGCATATCATATACCAGTGTGCCCAGCAGAACCATGGTTCATAATCACCACATTACAAGTTTACTGAGGATTCTCCACATCAGAAACTATGCAGTATCATTTAAGCCTCACGGCAACCATCTGAATTAGATATTGTGATCCCCATATTAGAAGCTCTACCTCTAATAAGGCATTTCAGCCTTTCCCAGGTGTGCATCGTTATCTACAAG